CAGGACTTGCAGGAGATCTGGCTGGATGCTGCTTTCTGGAGATTTCTGTTTTCGGTTATTCTGCTGGTTATCATGTTTCTCTGGAGGCCGTCCGCGAACAACCAGAGGTGAGCTGATGACAGGCTGTAGATCTGTGTGCATTTCTGTTTTAAAGCAAATTGTAGCTGTCCATTAGGATGCCAGTCTAAAAGAACTGAAGCTCATTTCATTTTCATTTATGGGACATACTTGACTACACTAGATTTTGTTTACACAGGGTTCGTACGGTCATGAAAAACCTGGAAAAGTCAGGGAATTTGAATAGAGCAATTTCCAGACCTGGAAAAGTTTTGGAAAACAAATTATACTCCTAAAGTTATGGAAAAGTCATGGGAATCTAATTCATAAGTAGCAGTATAATGAAGTAAATAATTACGTTAAGATTTGATGAAGATTTTTTTTTTAAAACGATTAATTTCAGTGCAGGCGCTCTGGGTGGGGTTAAAAACGTCATACGCGAGGTGTAGTTTTGTGATAATGCGCGGGGGAGTTTCAGTCGCAATATGCCGGGTAAATGTCGCTTTAACAATAAATGGCTTCACTTGGATAAATATAAGACATGGCTTGAAAAACACAAGGACACAGGACGTGCCAAATGTCGACTGTGTAGTAAAACTTTCGACATATCAAACATGGGAGAGGCAGCCCTATCTAGCCACGCAAAGGGGGCTAAGCACCAGTCTGCTGCTACGTGTGAATCTTCGGTCAACCCCATCACTGGCTTTTTCCCTCACAACGCCAACGCGAGAGCCGCTGCCACCTGCAGCACGTCCCTCTCGTCCACCTTCAAACAAGGGACCATTTCAGACACCGTGTCCAGAAATGAAGCCCTTACAGCAGAGGTATTGTGGGCGCTAATGGTGGCAAAATCTCACTATTCTTATAAATCGTGTGAAGACACAAACCAGCTATTTCAGGCCATGTTCCCAGACAGTCAAATAGCTACGAGATTTGCATGCGGTGAACGCAAATGCTCGTATATATGTACTTTTGGACTGGCGCCTTACTTTAAGAAAAAGACTTTGTCCGAAATATCGAAGCAAAGACTGTACGTGATGTTGTTTGATGAAAGTCTGAACCACTATTTACAGACTAAACAGTTAGACATGCATGTGAGACTATGGGACGGGCCCGAGGTGAAAACTAAATACATTGGGTCAGAGTTTATGGGGCATTCGACAGCGCAAGATATCGCAGAGAAAATGAAGGATTTGCAAGAATCGCAAGTCTCGCTCAAATCTCAATGGATGGTCCTAACGTAAACTGGAAAGTATTCGAAATACTACAGAAGCAAGTGCAGAATGATGTGGGGAAGTCGTTAATTAACATTGGTTCATGTGGATTGCACATATTACACAACGCGTTTAGAGATGGATGCAAATCCACCGACTGGGAAGTTGAACACGGACTCTCTAGCCCAGGGGTCTCCAACTCCGGTCCTGGAGAGCTACTATCCAGTAGGTTTTCTATCCTACTTGGCTTTTGACGAGCCACACCTGCTCCTGGTATTTACCTGAGAACAGGTGTGGCTCATCNGTAGGTTTTCTATCCTACTTGGCTTTTGACGAGCCACACCTGCTCCTGGTATTTACCTGAGAACAGGTGTGGCTCATCAGAAGCCGGGTATGATAGAAAACCTACTGGACGGTAGCTCTCCAGGACCGGAGTTGGAGACCCCTGCTCTAGCCTGTACTGGTTGTTCCATGATTGTCCTGCTCGTCACGAGGATTTTATGACGCCGACCGGCTGTAGTGCGCCAATTCTTAAATTTTGCAAGCACTGCTGGATAGAAAATGTCAATGTATCAGAAAGGGGAATGCTTCTCTGGCCACATGTGAAACGCTACGTTGAGATGGTAGAGAGAGGAGAATTACCCAATCCAAAAGTGAAGTCATATGAAGAGGTGAAGAATTGCTGTTCTGATCCTCTCTTTCCAGTGAAAGTGGGGGTATTTCAGAGCGTTGCAAGAGAAATTACCACCTTCCTCACAGTGTATCAAACAGACAAACCCATGCTGCCATTCCTCTCCCAGGACATGCACAAACTAATTAAAGGTATGTATTTATCTGTATTCTGGTGAAACATATGCATTGATTAGCATATTACTGAGTAGCATATGTTCGGAAATAGTGATACATAAGTTCCTTCTAGTGGTACACTAGTGGAAAGCAGTTCATAATAAATTATATTCATATTAGAATTAAATTGCTTACATTACTTGAATATGCCTATGCTACTTTATTTGAAATAGGTTGTAATTAAATATTTCTTGAGGTGTTATTTGTGAAAAGTTTGAGAATCACTAATGAGGGATAAAGACTAAAATGTAAATGTACTTATGATATCCAAGCCATGAAGGTGTATAGCTGCATCACATTTTTGGTCTACTAAACAATTGTTACTGGTTTGTACATTTTCAAATTTCATTTTTATTATTTGCACGGCTCATGGGGCGATTTCTAAAGGAAAAGCACCTGGAAGAGGCCTCATCTACACTGAAGCTCCTTCATGTTTCTTTTCAGGATAGCAGTCTGCACAAGGACAGTTCTAAGATTGATATTGGATTTGCAGCAGAGGCCACCCTGAAACAGCTCAGGTCTTCCAAAAAGATTTCAGAGAGACAGATATTACAGATCAAGATAGACTGCAAGATGCTTTTGATTACATTCACTGAGAAGTTGCTGAAAAGGGCTCCAATGCATCACACATTAGTGAGAAGCATGAAGTGCCTTGACCCAAGATGCATGGCTGAATCCAAGGAGCTGTGTGCAAGTCAAATGAAAAGAATACTGCACATCCTTGTTGAAGCTAAACACATAGACGAGTCAAGTTGTGATGATGTCCTCAGAGAGTTTAGGGAGTTTTGTGAATCAGCTGCTCTTCAGGCAAAATTTAGGGAATTTGACACCAAAGCAGATAGAGTTGACATACTGCTGTATGAGACAATGGGGACAAAACCATCATTTTCAAGAGTCTGGAATGTGGTGAAGATTCTGCTGATCTTGTCTCATGGACAGGCCAGTGTGGAGAGAGGGTTTTCCATTAACAAAGAATTAATTGTCGTAAATCAGAAGGAGAGGTCTCTGGTGGCTCAGAGGCTCATCGTTGACCATGTCAGGTCTGTTGGAGGCATAACAAAGGTGGAGATAACAAAAGAGCTACTCATTTCAGCTGCAGGAGCCAGACAAAAGTACTGTGCCTACCTGGCACCTACCCTAACCCAAACCCTAACCCCAAACAAGCTTGATGGGCCGAATGGCCTCCTCTCGTTTGTAAATCTCTTATGTTCTTATGGTCATGGAAACTTGCCTCAGAGTCATTGAAAAGTCATGGAAATTTTTTGGTAAAAATGTGTATGAACCCTGTTTACAGTTCCCAATAAAATATGATAAAATGCTAATTATATTTGCCTTTTTTAATCCATTGAAATGTAAAGGATTGTGTGAAATTTCATCATTTCGACTACTATCCTCAGTATCGAACTGAATCGAATCGTATCGTATCGCATCATACCGTGGGAATTTCTGAGGTATCAAAAAAAAATCGAACCGTTGGCTTAAGGAATCGATACTGTATCGTATCGCGAGGAAAGCTGTGATTTACATCCCTAATATATACTCAGCAAAAAAAGAAACGTCCCTTTTTCAGGACTGTGTATTTCAACAATAATGTTGTAAAAATCCAAATAACTTTACAGATCTTCATTGTAAAGGGTTTAAACAATGTTTTCCATGCATGTTCAATTAACCATAATCAATTAATGAACATGCACCTGTGGAATGGTCGTTAAGACCTTNTCGTTTTGTAAAGCGCAGCCGGCATTGTTCGCTAGTCTCTTGTATGTTCACTCAGCAGGACTGGCAGGAGATCTGGGTGGATGATGCTTTCTGGAGATTTCTGTTTTCGGTTATTCTGCTCGTTATCATGTTTCTCTGGAGGCCGTCCGCGAACAACCAGAGGTGAGCTGACGACAGGCTGTAGATCTGTGTGCATTTCTGTTTTAAAGCAAATAGTAGCTGTGCATTGGGATGCCAGTCTAAAAGAACTGAAGCTCATTTCATTACTAATTATGGTGATTCGAAGTATTGTGCTTTTTTGTAATAGTTTTTATTTGTCATCTGTTTGTTGTTAACCCTTCTAGGTATGCCTTCACTCCACTGATTGATGACTCAGATGATGAGGACGTTGAGGAGTTTCTTGTATCCTCTAACTTGGGTAAGGTCTTTTGGAAGTTACCTTTAAATCTTCCGCATTGTGCTGAGAGTCATGGGATGAGTTAACGGGAACGTTAATGTTAACTTTCACAGGCGAGGGCATCAAGCTGAGGGGAGCGAAGACTGAGTCCAACGGGACTGCAAAACCTGTACCGCATACTGTGAGTGTGTCTCTTTGGGAAGTTCTCTGCAACGAGGTGGTCGAAGGCCTCAGATATGGCTCACCTTGAAGGCAGGAGGGCACTTCTGCTTTGGCATTTGGTTTTGGTGTTTCTCATACTGGATCAGTAGGTCGTGCCCATGAAGACAACCTGTTTGTGATCTCACTAACAACCAATCAGGGGAATATTCAGAAGAGCTGACATGTATAATGAGATTAACCCCCACTAGGTGGCAGTATTGATTAAGAATAACTTCCATAATCTCTTATCCCCTCTCTCTAGGATGAAGACTTGAAGTGGGTAGAGGAGAACATTCCTACTACTTTGACAGATGTGTAAGTGTCATTATGTGTATGTGCACAGGTGCCAGTTTCTGTACAGCTGGCGCCTATTGGACCAACGGATACACTGCAGTTGTTTTTGTAGGACTTTTTAACGTGATGTGTTTCTTCCCAATTCCGCTTCTCCATGCAGTGCCCTTCCCGTTCTTCTTGATTCAGATGAGGTAAGCATTTTTGTTTTTTAAAGCTTTTGTTGTATTACGCTGGCATTTACTTAAGTGTGACTGTTTTCTGTCCCTCAGGAAATCATGACGACAAAATTTGAGATGTCAAAAATGGAATGAAGCTCCACTTAAAGCACAGTTAAAGTTTCAGCCACTTGTGACCTTGCTAAAAAGCAGTGGGCGACATATACTCAGCACGTCATTAACTGTCACTGTCTGTCTGTGACCTTTATTGCGCCTTATTTGCTTACATTAAAAAAAAAAAAAAAAAAAAACGTTTCATCCTACTCAAGTAAGGAAAAATTAATTTTCATTTTTGCTCATGAACAAAAATATGCTAATCTTGTTCCTGGAATTTTTCGGTTATTTTTCCTCTAAAATTCCATTTATTTAAAAAAGACTGAGATGACCAAAGTCTGAGCGTGTTTTTGTTCCACATCTGTCTGTTAACGTAGATCTGAGGTCAGTTTTGTGATGTTTAATACCACTTTTTGTTTTTGGTTTGCACATTTGGTTCATGTTACTTTTACTAAGGAAGCCCTATTGTTATGTGAGCAGTTAATGCATTTAAAACAGCGTCTTCACAGCCCTTTTATTGTCATACTGTTCATAATGCTGGTATTTTATGGTGATTGTTGTTGCCTTGAAACAATTCTTTTTGGTTGGGACTTTCTTCCTAGTGAGATGCAAAGCAATACCCATCTTTGGTAATGCAAATATTACTCTTCCCTGCTGGACCCAATATATATCTTAAATATTTAGTTAATACTTAAGGCATTCGACCTGTTTTGATATTACCTTCTTTGATATTGCAAATGCTTTGGATTGACAGATGTGCACCTTTATTATGCAGGGAATGATGCTGATCATTATCCTGATGACTGTTTGTAAGCGCTTTTGTGCAAAGCAGAACTTGATGAGACATGAACGTGAGCTGCAGCGTCGATGAGACGTTTGTTGTGGTATCCTCAAGATGTGACACCCCCCCCCCGCCCCCCAATCTAACTTTGTTGGTTCAGCCTCGTTCCCCAGAGGGCACTGCTGGTTTTATCAATACTCCCTGTCCTTTGTATATGTACATGACTTGTTTCCTCAAAGCGGCAGTCCAGCTCTCTATGTAAAACTCTGGTGTGTAGTGTGTATGGTAAACCTCACACCTTATATTTAACTATTAGCACATAGTGTAAATGGTGTATGGTTTTTTTAAATATTTGTATGTAGAACACTTACAGCAGTATATAGTTTGCTGCCAGAAGGTCAGCTTGCAATGTGAATTAAATTGAAAGAAAATTGAAGGCATTCTTGTTTTCAGTTATTACTGGGGAAGTCTGTAATTGTTTTATGACACAATGTGTTATTTTTCTTTTTGCTAGTATGTATTTCTTTACTTACTTTGAAATGGTGAGCTTTAGTGCTTCTGCAGGTTCATTCCCTTTGGGTTTTTTCTTTAATTCCACCGGTGGCAGGGTGTCCAAATACTATTCCTGTCATTTATGTTTGCTTTGCAGAGACAGGTTGGAGCATATTCGATACACTCTGCCTTTTTCTGTTTTGTCTGAAATCCCCCCCGCACCCCCCATCCTCTGATCTTTTGGAATTTATGGGATCTTGTAAATCTATATAAAGTTTGGTTGGATCGGAGAACAGGTGTATACTTTCTGGTTTGTCAATTTCGATTAATTTAATTGTAAATAAAAATTCTTTATTTTATCGATGTTTGTCTTCTGTGCTTTGACTCATACTTCTTCGTTTGCATTCTATTGTTTTTTTTTTTGTCTCTTCCGCATTGTCTGGGAAGCCGCAGTTTCCTTTTTTTTTTTTTAATTTAAATTATTACTTTATAACTGGGGTAACTAGTGCACTCCCTGCAGCTTAGATTGTATGGCTTACTACAAAAATAATTACTCCACCATATAACTGTGAGTTTGGAGACACCCAGTGGCAACGAAGGACTCAAGCTGCCCTATGGCGCTTTCAGATTTTATTAGGGTCAAGAGGTTGTTTGGTTAGGTTTTTTTATGTTGAAAATGTGGGAAATGCATCCTTAGAGAATAAGTCTATGTGTTTCTGTGGCCTGTGAGGGTATTTCCCAGCCCAAAGGCGGGCAGTGCAGGCATAGAGACATCCATTGAGATTCCAGCTTCCTGTTTGGTCACATCCTGTGTGGGAGGTGCAGTCTGCGCTACTTTGTAGAGCAGTGTTGGTCTCAGTCTCTCATCCTTTCCACCTAACTGACCTTTTTTGTTGAGATCAGAGGCAGCTTTTTTATTGTTGTTGGGGGGGGGGGGGGGGTTGGACGTTGGTCACTTATGAACCCACTACTGATTCATTGGTGTCTCGTACATGTGAAGAACAAGAATGAGTAGAGTGCTGACGTTTTAACTCGCTATTGAAAAGCCTCATGTTTTTGAACTGATGCACAGCTTGATGTGATTTATCGAATTAGGCCATTAGGCTGTTTGATAGTATTTGACTAGGAGGCAGCAATGTTTTTTTAACAAGCTTTAAAAGGCTTCTTTGCTGTGATGATTTGCTACTTGTGTAGAATGTCCCCACAATCTGGTGAAAAGAACTGTGTACACTTGCAAATGAATTTTTGATGCAACATTTCCACCATTGTACATCTGCAATGTGGTTCATAAGTCCCAGCAGAGCAACTATATTTTAAGAGATTCAGATTTTAAGACAGCAGAATTCCTTCATAAACTGGGAGGCATTCAAATTCCAAAATGACCTCAGATGTATGTGGGAAATGGCCTGTATTTTTTTATGGTTTTTAAAAAATATTTTATTTCCCCCCCCCATGACCCTGACCATGATAAGCTTTTACAGGATGGATGGATGGATGGATGACTTTAAATACAAGTGTACATTTATGGAAAGTTGAGACTGCGTGGAGAAGTATATTGGGCTTCTTATGTGAATGCAAAAAGAAGCCATTTACAATAAAAGCAACTGCAGAAAAGAGGAACTCAGCGAGGTGAAAAGTGCCATAAGGATCAGGGGTCTCTCAATGGTGAATTCTAGCACCTCTGGGATAGATCAGTTGTTGACCTCTATCACTAATGAATATTGACAGGGGAGGAAGATATTTGCTGCCTCTTTAAACTCTGACCTTCGGGCTGCTGACATGTTAAAACGCTTTCTTAAGCTGGCTGCAGAGGAGTAATTTGTTTGAATGATTGGAATCCATGGGGACTACTTCGCCTGTGAAAGGATACGGAGGATCAACCAATCCATGTTCAAAAATGTGCATTTGAACAAACAGAAATATTTTTCTGAATGTGACTTGCGTTTCAACAATTTTAAGGATCCAGTTGATGTCACGCCAAGTCATGACATTCCGGCTATCCCCTGCAGATTACTCAGGCTATCTGCCTAAATGTGAGTGTTACATAGCCTGTATGATCCTTTAGCTAAATCGTTTTTGTGGACGGTTTCCCAGAGGACAATGTTCTGTTTCTTTTAGTTTACAAAATCAGGTGACTATAATGCAAAGGTGAGACCTGGTGAAGTCACGTGAGAAATGTCACTGAATGCTCGGATGGCTCTAAATAAAAGATCTCTGCAGAGACTGTAGAAATTTCACTTTTTCTTCTGACTTCGCTTTACTACTGAAATTTCAGTAAGGCTTACGTGACTTAACTATCTGTTCTCAAAATTTTACATAAATGATTTAGACATATTAAAAGCGCTTTAAACATTTTGAGAAGTAAACTAATTTGCTTGGATGGTAATGGCTTCCATTTCAGTAATTCACTTGTCGTATGCATTGTGTTAGATAACTGAAAAAAAAGATTTTATTTCCATTTGCTCACACGAACCCTTCGTTCAAGCTGTACATGAAATATCATTAATCAGCTGATGACTGTGAAGGGTTCTTATTTCTTAAAAAAAAGAGCAAAGACCCTAGCAGTGGTTGGCTTTAATGGTTTACATGTGTTTGCTGTTTCCTTTTGGTGGTTTAGACTTTGATACACATTGTTAGCAACACATGCTCAGTTATTTAAAGCAAAAGCAGGAAATGTATGATTACATTTAAATCTGGAACAGGAGGGAAAATGATTCAATTTACATATATGACAGAATTACATCTTACTGCTCAGATGTACAGTGACACTTTGTTTCATAATTGGTCACCCCCTGTCAGCCTCTCTAGGAACAAATTGGGAAAATGTCCTTGGCTCACTGAACATGCATCTTGAGTTGAACTAATTAGCAAAGAATTAGACCAATTTATTGCCTGGAATACAGCTGACTACCGTTGAAAATGCAAGGTTCGTAGTTATGTAAAGATATACATGCAGCTGCAGGAAAAATTAAGAGACCACAGCACAATTTTTTTGTTTCAATTTATGGGTGTGCGTCTGTGAATTATATACAGTATATTTTTCTGCAAACTGCAGTCTGGTTCTTCCCTGTTTCTCATTAATGAAGGGCTTCTTCCTGGCTTTATCAGTCCTACTTCTAGGAGCCTGATACAAACTGTCCTAGCAGTGCATGTCACACCTGCACTTAATGTTTCCCATTCCCAGTGTCTCCTGCTTCACCTTATTTTTGTGTGCAAAATCTTACAAATTTTGAACCTGAAAGCAACCTGCTGCTCAGTGTAGCCTTCTGCCAGCAGAACCACAATTAAACCATGATTTAAAAATGAAGATTTGTTTAGAAATATGGAGTGGTCCCTTAATTTTTTCCACGACTGTATACCAGTGCTTCCCAATCCGGTCCTCGGGGACCTACAAACAGTCCATGTTTTTACTCCTACTGGGAGCTGGAAGGAAGCAAAAACATGGACTGTCTAGCAAGGAACTAGGCGGGAGCAAAAACATGGACTGTCTGTGGGTCCCCAATGGACTGGATTGAGATGTGTATATTGTATGTGGGGGCACATTAGCTTATCTGACATCAGCATGGACACTCAGGTGTTGTTGATTTAACTAACAGTTACATTTTTCCTGAGGTGGGGTGGAGCCCTGATGTTTGGCCATAGGCTGGACCTAGGGTAGCCCATACATTAATTCCCCATAAATATATGCATTATATGTGAGGTGACATAGAAAACAATGAGAAATAGTGCATCAATTGCGTTATTGTGGAGCTGGGGAGTAAGTCTGTTGACATCTGTCTTATTTTCAAAAACAATTGCTCCCAACCATTGTTGTTTGCACAAGCTTTACATGAATGTAATAAATGTATTTTGAAAGATTATTAAGATTGCTATAATGGCAACAGATATGAATGTGTAGATACGCATTTTTTTCTGTAATGGATATGCTGAAAAACACGTTTCTTAGGCATGACAGGCAGAACCCCTGAAATATGAGGATTAGAGGATTTAGTGAATGCAGCACAACAAACATTATTTTATAATCTGTAATGTATTTAACATGTTTTCATTATTATACTTTTTATTTTTTGTCGTTTTTTTTTTCTTTTCTTTTTGCATTGCCCTTTTTGTGACCGGGTACTGCCTTAAATAACACCTTTGCACTTAAGTGTTGCTGAGTTGCCGTCTTCTCTGGAATGTTCCGGCTGCTTTTCAGGGTGCTGAGGAGTGCAGCTTGAAATCACAAATCAGGCTGGAATTTGTGCCATCTTGTCTATGGTCCTCGGAGCAGGACTGACATACCGTGGGGGGGGGGGGGTTTGCGGGGGTGGATGTTTCCTTTTGCCCCTGCCCTCCACGTGCAGACCTCCACCCCGGGACAGACGTGCACACATACCCTCATTCTTCCATTCATCTGCTGCTGGGATTCCTTCCAAAAATATATCTCCATATGGAGAGCGACCTCCAACCCTCAGCCACCTCTGTTTCCTAAGTACATTCATAACAGAAATGTCTAGGTTCCATTCCCATTCTCACACTTTCTGAATTCTTCAATAACCATCACTTTTTGTGGATGACATGGGACAGGATTTCCTCTGTAGTTCCATTAAGAAGCTTAAAAAGAAAAAAGAGCTAAAAATGGCAGGTGAAATTCCAAACACATGGAATGTCAAATATTCTCTATTTTCTCAGCACTGAAATTGTCGTGGCTACCATGTGACACGGGATGCGTTCTCCAATAGCTCTGTAGTTTGATCACAAGGTTAAAGGTCACCGCCAAGTGCCATGACTTTGCAGGGCATGACTTCCTGGACATTTTTGTAGTGATGCTGGTAGCAACAGTTTGCTTTTGCCATTATAACATGGGGTGGGGGGGGGATTCTGATCACTTCTTGTGAGTAGCTCCTTATAACTTCCAGCAGAATAATCCATGTAATAGATTTTGTGCATTGGAAGTAATTACTGCTGGTGGAGAACTCTTGCACAGATCAAAACAAAATCGTAAATAGGCCTACCACTTGGAACAGAGAGCAGTCGTGCTACTATTAATTACTGGCTATAGCCTGGAGTTTGCCGTTAAACCGCTTTGTCAGTTTGGAAACAAACGTAAAATCCAAACACGTGCAGCACCCCCTCCCCTCCCGCTGACCCCGAGCCCATCTTGGAAGCCTGTGGTTCTTTTGATCCTCTTATTGCGATTTAAAGCGCGAAGAGGGATATGGAGGCAGAGAGGAAGACAGAGGACACATGTGGTGAACATTACCCTCCTCCCTGACAAACATGTCACTGAAAAACACATTGAGGTGTATTTTTAATTTCCTGGTGCTTATTGTTCCAGTCAGTATGAAATCGTCCTGGAAAGAGCTATTGTTTGAAGCACATGG